GTTATTGGTGTGTTAGAAACCACGGAAGTGCCTGAGAATGGTCACGTAGGAATTAGAGCTTCTCCCCCCCCAAAAGGTGGTGGGATCAATATCCCAGCTGAAGTGCATCTACACCAATGCATGCAGCATCAGCAAAAACCAGGAGGAGCTGGGAGCCATTGTGCAGTGGGAAAAGCATGATATAGTTGCCACCGCGGAAACACGGTGAGATGACTCGCGCAACTGGAGTGCTGCAATGGCTGGCTATAAACTCTTCTGAAGGGATAGGCAAGGAAGGAGAGGCGGTGGGGCAGCCCTGTATGTTAGCGAGTGTTTTGACTATCTGGAGCTTAATGATGGTTATGATAGGGTTGAGTGTTTATGGGTAAGAATCAGGGGGAAGGCCAACAAGGCAGATATCATGGTGGGAGTCTGTTACAGACCACCCAACCAGGATGAAGAGGCAGACAAAATACTCTATAAGCAGCTGGGAGAAGTCTCAAAATTGCTAGACCTTGTTCTTATGGGGGACTTGAACTTGCCAGATGTCTGCTGGAAATGCAGTACAGCAGAGAGGAAACAGTCTAGGAGGTTCTTGGAGTGTGTGGAAGATAACTTTCTGACACAGCTAGTGAGTGAGCCATCCAGGGAAGGCGCCCCGCTGGACCTGTTGTTTGCAAACAGAGAAGGACTTATGGAGGTTAGAGGCCGTCTTGGGCACAGCAATCATGAAATAATAGAGTTTTCAGTTCCTGGAGAAGTAAGGAGGGGGGTCAGCAGAACTGCCACCTTGGACTTCTGGAGGGCAGACCTTGGCCTCTTTAGGAGCCTGGTTGACAGAGTCGCTCGGGAGGCAGTCCTGAAGGGCAAAGGAGTCCAGGAAGGCTGGACATTCTTCAAGAAGGAAATCTTAAAGGCGTAGGAGCAGGTCACCCCCATGTGCTGAAAGATGAGCCAGCAGGGGACTGCCCTGGCTGAACAGAGAGTTTTGGGTGGAACTCAGGGAAAAAAAGGAGTTTATGACCTTTGGAAGAAGGGGCAGGCAACTCAGGAGGACTACAAGGATGTCATGCGGTTATGCAGGGAGAAAATTAGAAAGGCCAAAGCCTAGCTAGAACTTAATCTTACTACTGCTGTAAAAGACAATAAAAAATGATTGAATAAATACATTAGCAACAAAAGAAGGGCTAAGGAGAACCTCCATCCTTTATTGGATGCAGGGGGAAACATAGTGACAAAGGATGAGGAAAAGGCTGAGGCACTTCATGCCTTCTTTGCCTCAGTCTTTAATGGTAAGACCAGTTGTTCTTGGGGTGCCCAGCCCCCTGAGCTGAAAGACGGGGACAGGGAGCAGAATGAAACCCCCATAATCTAAGGGGAAATGCTTAGTGACCTGCTACACCACTCAGACACACACAAGTCTATGGGGCCAGACAGGATCCACCCAAGGGTGCCGAGGGAGCTGGTGGAAGTGCGCTCCAAGCCACTTTCCATCATTTATCAGCAGTCCTGGCTAACTGGGGAGGTCCCAGTTGACTGGAAGTTAGCAAACGTGATGCCTGTCTACAAGAACGGCCAGAAGGAGGATCCGGGGAACTACAGGCCTGTCAGTCTGACCTCGGTGCCAGGGAAGGTTATGGCGTGGATAATCTTGAGTGCCATTACATGGCCATGTACAGGACAACCAGGTGATCAGGCCCAGTCAGCATGGGTTTATGAAAGGCAGGTCCTGCTTGACTGACCTGATCTCCTTCTGTGACAAGGTGATCTGCTTAGTGGATGAGGGAGAGGCTGTGGATGTTGTTTACCTGGACATTAGTAAAGCCTTTGACATCATTTCCCACAGCATTCTCCTGGAGAAACTGGCTGCTCATGGCTTGGATGGGTATACTCTTTGCTGGGTAAAAAATTGGCTGGATGGCCAGGCCCAAAGAGTTGTGGTGAATGAAGTTAAATGCAGCTGGCATCCAGTCACAAGTATTGGGGCCAGTTCTGTTTAATAACTTTATCAGTGATCTGGATGAGGGGATCGAGTGCACCCTCAGTAAGTTTGCAGACAACACCAAGTTGGGCGGGAGTGTTGATCTGCTTGAGGGTAGGCAGGCTCTACAGAGGGATCTGGACAGGCTGGATCGATGGGCCAAGGCCAATTGTATGAGGTTCAACAAGGCCAAGTGCCAGCTCCTGCCCGTGGGTCACAATAACCCCACACGACGCTACAGGCTTGGGTAAGAGTGGCTGGAAAGCTGCCTGGCGGAAAAGGACCTGGGTGTGCTGGTTGACAGCCGGCTGAATATGAGCCAGCGGTGTGCCCAGGTGGCCAAGAAGGCCAACGGCATCCTGGCCTGTATCAGAAATAGTGTGGCCGGCAGGAGCAGGGAGGTGATTGTTCCCCTGTACTCGGCACTGGTGAGGCCGCACCTCGAGTCCTGTGTTCAGTTTTGGGCCCCTCACTACAGAAAGACACTGAGGTGCTGGAGCGTGTCCAAAGAGCAATGAAGCTGGTGAAGGGCCTAAAGAACAAGTCTTAAGAGGAGCAGCTGAGGGAACTGGGGTTGTTTATCCTGGAGAAAAGGAGGCTGAGGGGAGACCTTATCGCTCTCTACAACTACCTGAAAGGGGGTTGTAGCGAGGTGGGGGGTCAGTTTCTTCTCCCAAGTAACAAGTGACAGGACAAGAGGAAACGGCCTTAAGTTGCATGAGGGGAGGTTTAGTTTGGATATTAGGAAAAAACTTCACCAAAAAGATGGTCAAGCATTGGAACAGGCTGCCCAGAGAAGAGGTTGAGTCACCATCCCTGGAGGTATTTAAAAGACATGTAGACATGGTGCTTAGGGACATGGTTTAGTGGTGGACTTGGCAGGGCTAGGTTAACAGTTGGACTCCATGATCTTAAAGGTCTTTTCCAACCTGAATGATTCTATGATTCTATGAATTTCAGTGGTTGTTTTTTAATGAAGCCTGAAGTGTCATAAAACTGGCTTTATTATTTTATGGACATATGCCCTAAGATAGGATGAATAACCATTTGGAACTACCTGTCTTTCTCTGTTGAATTTGTATCAACACCTACATTTTGGCTAAAATTAAGTGAGATTAACTCACTTTTTGTGTTTAACTCTTATTTCCAGAGTCATATTTGAAGTATACTCAAAATAAGTGAAATATGTATGCCACAGTGGCAAAAAGCAGAAAATTAGAGAAAATAAAATCAGAAGGAAAAAATATTTTTTCTAGCTAAGATTTAGGTCCTTCAATTATCTATGTGTTTGAAAGTAGGTTCATGGTTTTTTGAGAGTCTCTGAGTTCTCAGAATACAAGAAAACATGTTCACTTATCAGAGGTGATGAGATTCAAATCATGTATTAACCAGTTCAACTATGTACACTGCATAAAGGTTGTGACAATTTCTTGTAAAATAATAAAAGTATCTCATATAATTGATTCTTTTCATTGTTTCATAAAATTGCTTTGTTTGATTGCGGGAGAGTTTGGACTGAATTTTCATTACCTATTTCTGAACAATTTACACTGGGATTGAGACAGTATTGAGCTAATGAGTTAGAATTTATATTGAGCCTTAACTGTCTTCATGAAGTAACTAGGGAAAGAAAATCATGGCAATAATGGAGTATTTTTCATTATAAACTATGTTGTACAGCTTTTACAATCAGGTTTTTAATAGATCTAGAGAAATTAAATTGGAATTCTACCAACTTTTGTGCTTTTGTCATCCCATGAAAACGATGTTAAAAAATGTCAAGACTAATGTGCTAATCCCGTTTCTACTGAAGGAAGGACGAGGTGGTATCAGTCCTGTTGTTTTTCAGGCCCTGTTGTTCATTAAGAAGTAAGATGTACATAGAAAAACATTCAGAAATATGCAAATTGAGTATAGATTAAATAGGTCTTGACTGAAAGTAGAAACTTTCAAAGTCAGGAGGGTGAAATTGTGCTCTATATGAAAAAGGAAGCAATCATGTATTGCTGATGGATATATTAATACTGCTGAGAATGCATGCATATATACATATTTATTAATATATTCAAACATTGTTTATTGATTGCATATGGTAAATAAACTCATACAATGAGTGTATAGATTACTTTGTATGTGTAAACATACATATACTTAGTCTCAGCATTACACATAAATATGCACCATGAATAACATAAGTCATCAGATTGGAAGAGTTTAAACTTTTCATTATATATAAATGTGCAAATTAATATGGTTACATTAATTTTTAGTATTGTCCTTTAATTGTATCCTTCTGTTTAATTATGTGGGTATTTTTTATGAGGAGGTTTGCAGTAGTGAAAAAGGGTATTTCTCAAATATATGAATTATTGCTTGTCTCAACACTTAATGGTCCACGTTGTTCCTTGCTATTAGTCCTTTCCAGTACTAGAAGACTGCAGGAATCGATTAATAATCCCTTACCTTTTAATTAATAATATGAAATAAAAATTGAATATACAAAACAGAATCATCAGCCAAGCACATGTGCATGCATGTTGGTGCCCTCAATAAATTAAAATTTTAGTTACTTCCTATAATGTTTATTTATTTACAAATACAAGAAGAAATATGACTGTAGTTTAAATTTTAATTGGCATAAGAGGCAATACTCTTTTTTTAGACATTTTGCAGGCAAAAATATTCTCTCACATATAAAACAAATGCAGTATATAATTTTACTTGCTAAGAATGGCACAAGTATATGTAAAATATACATCAAACACAAAGTTCATGTGAATGAGGACAACTGTAATACTTTTAGGTTTGTGTTTTAACTGTTAACTTTAAAAAGTTATCCTTACATATCTTTTTCTTAGGGTGAAAAAAACCCCAAACAAACCAAAAGTCCTTCCCCCAACCCACATATTAAAGAAAAAAAAAAAAAGAATAAAAATTGCCACTTGCAAAAAAGGTTAGATTGCTGGCCTTGCTTGCAAATTCAGACACTGAAAATTTGGAGTCTTCCTTCAACCAAATAATTTATATTCATTCCCCACAGGCAGCAGTGATGGTTCTTGGGATAAAGAAAAACTTCAGTCTCCCCCCACCCAAGGATCACAGGCCTCTGTTAACCACCCCAACTTGCCTGGACAGCATAATGTTCCAGTTAGCCATCCTCTCAACCCTCTTCAACAGAACCACCTTCTGCCAAATGGTACGGGTTGACATCTTTCAGCACTAACATCAGCAGTTTTCCAATTCCTGTCTTTATTTTGTGTTTATATAAATAGGCTATGAAAAATCAAAGATGTGGGGAACATTGGAATACTTCCTTTAAAGTATTAAGCAGAGGAAGCGGAGACAATAGAGAACAAATACATACACAATAAAATTGATACTTAAAATAACTGCTAACCTGTGCATCAGTGGCATAATAATGCATTGCTAAGGCACCTTACAGCAGATATTAAAAAAGATAATAAACAGCCATTGCTTAGCAATGTTATCATACATTACAGTGATATTACCAAACTAAGAGGTCTAATAGCCTCTCCTTGTGGCTAGAAACCCTCCATGGTTGCTAGTGACTTACCCATGCATATCCCAGAAGAGAACTGACATATACCTGCTTTGTCCTGCAATGTGTACCATCTCGTCACTCATCACTTGAATATTGTCCATCAGGAGAAAAAAACCCCAATGTTTTAAAAAGATGCATAAACCTATTTCCCTTTTTTTTGTTTCCCCCACCAGGATTGGAACTTCCTTTTATGATGATGCCCCACCCCTTAATTCCTGTGAGCCTACCTCCAGCATCTGTCACGATGGCAATGAGCCAGATGAATCACCTTAGCACCATCGCCAACATGGCGGCAGCAGCACAAGTGCAGAGTCCTCCATCCAGAGTTGAGACATCTGTTATTAAGGTAACTATATAAAAAAAAAAACAAACCCACACAAAATTCTAGCACACTCACAGCTGTCATAAATATTATAAAGGTGGGTAGGTGTCAAATGTTATAAGGTATGTCATAAAGTCAAGAAACACAACTGTTGTAGCTCTGGGAACACAGTAGCCCGCTGGTGGCCAGTTTTATCTTCTCAGTTCTCCTCCCCTTCTCTAAATCAGTATTAAAACAGTGCTCAAGTTGAAGCATTTTCATGCAGAATACACAGCTTTCTGATTTTTCATATTTCATAGTCTGTAGTCTAATGGCAACATTCCTCAAGATATCAAGGAAGAAATTACTCCTTGCTTAAATTAGAATAGACTGTTCTTCCAACTTCTAAATCTAAGCATTTGAACTGAAATGCTGCAAATTATCTGAAGAAGGCTGAAAGGCTTCTTTATTTACCTCTGCAGAACCTAAATTGCCAAATCCCGGAACAGAATGGAATGAAGTTGCACAGAACAGACCTGGTAATCTGCAGGCCAGAACTGTAGTATTGTAGAGATATCTCAGACATATCTGATATCTGAAATTGTCTATTCATTTTAGGTTTTGTTTGCTGCCTGTAACAAAATTAGTCTGGTTATAGAGGTATTTAGCAGAGGCATGGAGTCTTCTCTCCTTCTGACTGAAGATGATCTGTTTTCATTTTAAAGGCATTTCTCCCTTACCACTAGATACTTAAAATTTGATTTGACATTTATTCGGATACCTACATTTTACCTGTTACACTTCTTTAGTTCTAATAAATGAGATACAGAAAGTACACAAATATTTGTGCTTTTATGTAACATTCACATGTTAGAAATAGACATGCCTTTGCATGGTTATTTGATATTTTAGTGCTGTGTTGGAAATCTGTCCATTAATGCAATTCCTTTGACAAAAAATGGAGAAACTTAAAATCTCTTGGACTTGCAAATCAAGAGTTGCAAAAGTTTTGATGTTCATGATGATTTAAGCAGAGTGAAGAGGTCTTATTAGGACATTGAACATGCTTGTGCTCCTGTCCTCTTTAACCTAACAAGCCCAGAATCACAAAGAACTATTCAGTTAAAAGTCAATAAATCTATGTTGCTGTTGACCTAGAAAAATATGGTCTGATGGCCTAATTTGCGTACCTGCACTTTCAAATGTAGGATCTTCTTTGGAGGCCTTCAGTGGCATCCCTTTCTCACCTTTGATGACATGGGGAGTTAAGACATTGGTTTGAGAAGAATTGTTTCTTTAGGTGCTATGTCAGCAAGGCTAGATTCCACCCTTATGTCCATCTTGCCCTTATCTCAGGAATATAAACACTCTGCTGCTAACTAACTGTTCGATTATATGATGATATCTGCACCTTTGTTTTTCTATTTTCACTTGATCAGTATTCAGTAAGAGTTACATGATGCTAAAGTTCTCTGGAACATACGTGGTGCTCTATTTAATTCTAAATTTATTTTCTTAATTGGAACAGTGACCACTGGTATTACAGAGGTATCTAAAAAATGAAGATTGGGATGGAGCACATGCTAAATGACACCTGACAAATACGAATTACTATGGCAACAAAACTTTGTTTTCACTATTTTCCCTACTATTTTCCCTTCTTTCATTTTCTGTGAGCTATTTGATTTCACTTGTAAGAGTACAAAATTTGACCTTCATGAGCATTGGTAACCTTCTGCTTCTAAAGTTTGACAAGCTGACTTCGAGCTTGTAAAGTTGATTTACAAGCTAGTTATAGTTATTAAAGTAGCCTAAGTAAGTGGCCTACATTTAAATATGTCTATGGGACCACACCCCAATGTGACCCCTGATCTTTGTCTGAAGTTATCAAAATCGGGTAGATTTCAAGTACAACATAGCTCTTACGCTATGTAAAAAAGTTTTCCTTCTGCGGAAAGCAGGTCCTGATGTGTTCACAGAACTCAGCACATTATGGGAATATTGCTGGACCCAGGAAGCACTTAACTGAGAAGTACTTCTGGCTCATCTGATCTAAACCTGTCTAGTAGGTTTAAAAGCATTGGACTCTGAAGGGATACTCTGTCATCATGTGACTATGTATATTATTTTAACCATAGGCAGTGCCATACCAGAAAATTTTCCTTATCTTAGAGTTCCTTAACTTCTTAACAAGTTTCTTTATAATCTAGGTGAGATTTTGAAAGTACCTAGCAATTTTTGGTTCTCTGTTTGAAACTTTTTAGCAGCACTTTGTAACTAGAAAATCATAATTTTTTTTTAAATCTTGCATATTTAAGCATTTGTTTGTATTAATAATCTACACTACTTATCTCTGTCATTTCTGAAAATTCAGCTATCCTGTATTCATGCTAATTAAATCTTTATCATAGCTGCCAACTTTTGCGCAGCTCCTGGCATAATATCTTGTGCAAGTTATTTAACAAACCAGGTTTTGTGTTCCCATCTGGTTTGCACATAACTGTAAATTAAAAAGATGTGGATTTACAATGAAGTGTTTTTAAATGGCCAAATTAACCTAAGTTCTATTTAGAAAAGTGCTCACTCAAGGGTGAAATATGCATTTTTTGAGTTTGCACGATTAAGTTAGAGTTTTGGGACATTTAGGCAGAACCTTATGGAGACACTATCTAAGTGCTGCTGTGGCTTCTTCAGTCAAGGCCTGTGACATATTGCCCACAATACATTTGTACTACAGCTAAATACATAAACACAAAATTTGCCTTCCAGAACTCACTTCTGAATGTGAGACCTTGCTGCACATAGTTATTTCAGTGATATTGTAAGGGCAAAGGAACTTTCCCTCAGCCCCTTTGTTGTACAACGTACGTCTAGATTTATGTCCTCTGTTTTTGTCTATGGCAGATGAATATGGTCATGTGGATAGAGATACCACAGCCAAGTAATTATGTTCCTATTTTTTAATACTGATCAGGATTGAAACATAAACCCCAGCAACATAAAAGCATGAGGTCATTGTTAGGGGGATTTTCTTCCCATGAGCATGGACATAATGTCACTGGCAGTTTACCTGTTCCTCACTAGGCATAGTCAGAGGCTGTGATTTTAGTGTCCATTGAATTATATGCACTGAGTAGTTGAGCAGGAAACTCTCTAATCAGCATACTTTTTGAACCTTGCACTGGCAATGTAAAGTTTATGAATAATAAGTTATAGCACAATCAAAATAAATATCTTAGAGGATAGATGTAAGTGAGAAGGTCAAACCTCCTTTCTCTTTATTTTTACAGGAATGGATAAATAGTACAGTTGCTCTCTTTCACAAAACTGTTTGTTGTTAGAATCATATCTTCCTTTTTTTTAATTGCCACATTTTTTAGACTTTTTTGTTTTGTTTTCATTATCTTCTGGCTCATTTTTTTAACCCTAATTTTACTTAAATGTTTTTCCTCGGTAATAATGTTTCCATAAGTTGATTTGAAAAGTTTGTGAATCACTCATCTTGGAGTTCATAGTTATAACCTGAAATGAGAGCGTAGATTTGAAATTAGAGTACAAGATGTTTACGAGTTTAAACTCTGCTTGAAAGTTAGAATACCTATGAGAAATTTCTACTCTGAAAAGTAAATCAATAGTAACCTTATCTAATTAAGTGACAAAGAACAAAATTAAGTCTTAGAAAATCTAAGTCTTCAGATTATAAACAACCTGGTTCATTGGATAGAAGAATTGCCTTTGTGAACAGTGCCACGGTAGATGACTTGCTGACCTTTCCTTCCAATTCACCGAGTTCACAGTTAGTGCTGTTATCTTTAAACTCACAAAGCTTCAAATGCCTTTCTATTACTGGGCAATATTTCATTTCTTCATGATAAGAAGTTGGAATAAAGCTGAGTTCATGTACTAACCAAACATTTTATCCTTGTATGTTCAGGAGATGAGACAAAGACAATTACAAGGGAAGCCTTACAAAGCAACACCTTAGATTTGGCAGTGAACTCTGAGCTCTAAAATCTTCGGAATTATATTTCAGAAGAGTGTTGTGCCCTTTCAAACATGAGACGAACATTACATGTCTTTTTATAATGGAATGTTTAGATATATGAGTTGGATGAATAAGAGGAGAGCACCAACAAGCAGGGAAAGCAGATTGTGACAGCAATGAATTGCAGTGAGTGTGACGGCTGTGACCTGGGGATGCTTTAGACATGAGGTGGCTTTCATCACCTGCCCATGGATGCAAAGGCTCAGCTTGTTAGCAGTTTCACTACATCAATTTTTTTCACCTAGCAGAAAGATATATGAAAATATAAAGGACATACCTCATATTAATAGCAACTTGAAATATTTCTACATTGTAAAAGTTAGAACAGAGAAGCTTGCCAGAGTCAAAAATTGCACTTTATCTGTATAATGTTACTAATACTTACAGAAAGAATTAAGAATAAAGCAGAAGAAACTGATACCTCCAGCTGAAAAAGTGACCACTGGCACAGCAGTTTTCCACTACATATTAAATACATGAGACTAAATTTTGCTAATTTGCTAAATATATCACAGCACTGGTTGTGTTACACTTGTTCATAATGTTTCTCTCTCTCTCTCTCTTCCTGTTACCCAATAGCAGAAATTTACTATTAATTTATTTAACCAAGGTAGCTGCTGACAGATTTTAAAAAAAACAAACACCTCTGTTTATAAGCCTATTCTGATATGAAATTTTATTTTAACATTCATTCACTTTTTCATTTTTCATTGGCAATATGTGTGTGTTCCTATTGATGTCATTTAATGTTCCTATGTTTTTCACCTATAATTGCTGCCAAAAAGTCCAAATAATAACCAAAGAGAAGAAATATGACACTGCCATACAGAAATGACAGAACAGAGTACATTTAAAAGTCTCAACAGAGTACATTTAAATGTCTTATGTCAGAGTGGCAGTGAGCAAGTTCAGAGAGTGGACCTGAGAGGAAACAGACTCCTAAGAGGAAAATGAGCAAGGTCACTTCATGGAGGGGTTGGGCAGCAAAGGGACTACAGAA